GGCCGCCATATCTTGCCATGCCACATGTGCGGATGCACGAGTCACTACGGTAACTGTAGATCATGAAACAAAATTTCTTTGCTAATTAAGCCTGCTTGAGCGCTTTGCAAGCAGTCGCAGGGCGACTCAATTGGGTGTATTGGGCATTTTTTTACCAGAAGAAAAAGATTTTGCTATCTCTTGTAGTTCCCTCCTGATGTCTTGGTTAAGAGCCAGCGTTCCAAGTCAACGATTTTTATATCGATCCCCCTTGCGGCCAATCCAAGGCCAGCAAAATTAGCGTGACACATAAGTCTCTGTTGTACCATCCGGAAACCCCCATGCCGCTAAGCTCGGCCTCACGAAGAATTACAAACCCCCGACATCGAACATTCCGGGGGTATGTACTAGCTGACCCCCAGATAATCCAGAAGGTAGTAGCCATCCAGTTGAATAAGTGTAAATGCCGCCGTATAGGATAGCCGCTGGCAGTTAGAGATACTAAATGTACCCACTGCATATGCAAAACAAAAACAAAATGATGCTGCTTGTGCTTCCAGCGAGGTCCTGCGAGTGCTCGCGAGGTGCCACGAGTAGTTCAATTACGCCCCTTTGCTTAATGGCCACTGGTTATTCTTTGTGTTTGAACAGAGCACAAGATTGAATTTTTGCAACCATTCACTTGAACCGATCCAACACTGCCTGCCTCAAGCGGGACCGCTATTGCTCAAAATTGATTGCGCTGATTTCTTCTGTTCTTTTTTTAATGCAGTGGGTACATTTGGTATCTCCAACTACCGATGTCTGCCCTCTTCGGCAGTGCCTACACATGCCCAACCGAACTTCGACTACCTAGTAGATTATCTGGGGTAACAGCCATTCCAGGGCCCCCGACTGTTCGAAGTCAGAGGTTTATGCTTCGAAGAGAGGCCAAGCTTAGCGGTACGGGGTTTCCGGATGGTACAACAGAGACTTAGGTATCACACCGGTTTTATCGGCCTTGGGTTGGCTGTAAAGGAGATCGATCCGACCAATACTAAATCGGAACGGCGGTGCTTAACAAAGGCACCCAGGGAAACCCGGGTTGCGCTATATCCTCTAGTTTGATCTAACTAACCTAAATTTAATTCTTAACTTGTCTCCATACCGCAGGAGACACATGTGTGCTGGATACTACCACCGTCGATTAGCCGTTGGCTTGGGACGGTTCCACTCGATGAAGCCAATCGTGGCATAAATTTGTGCGTAAGCGCGAAATTCTGCTGCGTGAGTGAGCGCATCACGTTGGCATCGACGAACCATGCAAGCCGTCCATCTTTAAGTGTGCACTGTACAATTGCAACCGTTGGAGTATCACTTTTGAAGGCCACAAAGCTGGCATTTTGGACTGGTCGGTCGAGTCGCAGTGCCCTTCGTACACCACCGCTGCCCCGCTCGATCCATCGTGGCCGTGCGCGTGCCGATGCGTCCCGCCGTGGAGGCCTTAGGTACACATTGACACCACACAGCTCGCCGGGAGGATATCGCGCGCAGTACGAGCCTGACTGCTCGCAAGAGTTGCCTATCTTCGCAGTGCATTAGTGCCCATCTCTAAACAAACATCTCGATATGTGGTAAAGCAAGATATTACACACACGTAGCCCGGCTTCTGCGTTTATCATGCATCATTATGTTTGACACCGTATCGCGAGCACTGTCAAATGTATACTGATCAGCTGCACACAAAATGCCCGATAGATATAGTCTCTGCATTGTGTCCGACCTGAAGACACGCGACATGGAATGGTATGCTACAAGAAGCACTTAATCAGTACAAGATGGCATCTGGATTAGTGCTCTTTAGCACATATGTTTGCATAAAGGAAGTAATCAATACACGTCATCTTTCGTCGCACTAGAAATTGTTCTGTAGCGAATGCACCGACACTGGATGCATCAAAAAAGTATTTCATGTAAAGAATTTGCGTTTGGACTTCAGGGAAGGCCGGACTACAATCGAGTGAGCGCGTGGTACCTAAAAAAATAAATCGCGCTACCACCTTTAAAACTCCGGTTTTCGCCAATACGTTTTTAAAAGAGCACAAATTTAGCCGCACTGACAACAAATGTAAGCTATCACTTTTGTAATACTAGTCGTTGGTAAGCTCATACAATCTTCTCCCCTTTTTCCAGTGTAGCTTTTCATAGACATCAGCACCTGTACCTCAGACTTTTACGATGCGAAGTATCTATGCGTCAACATCAAACGTCCCAAACTAAGGTTTGCCAAATGAAAGATCATGCGCAATGTCACGGTAGCGTGTCATCTGATGGTTGACGTTGAACCAGCTTTCACGCGTCTCTTTCGCCAGCTCCCTCAGTATTTGTCGACGTGCTCCTGTTGTTTCTATTTTAAGGTTTTGCACCTTTTTTCGGCAGACCTTGTTAACTTTGGTCGGTAAATAACTGCTAAGACCATACTATATAACGCTTATGCGATTAGCACCGTGCTCGCTGCATCTTCAGCCGCCTCTTGGATTTGCTTTCCGGATGTCATGCCAAGTCTTTAACACCTAGCTGACCTTGTGGTCCATGCACCGCTTGCCTCGCAAATTTACTTCTTACAGACTTTCGATCAGAAAGGTAGTGCGATCGTGGAAGACGGCCTCTGCTCACCGTCCCACTTCCTGGACCACCGTTGAGTCCTGATGCATCAGCGATGCATTAGCAAATATTTGCATTGGTCCACCAAATTCCAGCATTCCTAGTCCACTGCTGACCAGCAGACGTAACGAAGTTTCTCGTAGGCGTCGATGCACCTGCAAAAGATACATTGTCACCTTCTCTGATGCTATTACAACGTACCACATTAATGGTTACATCTGTCAAGTTGGCTCCATTTGCTACGATCTGATGATAACTTCCACACATAACGAGACATTGCTGTGGTCAGAATCGCGTAAAAGCACTTTTAATCCTTAACCCTCAAGTCGAGGTCGATGTCATCCCTTTTAAGGCCTACGTTTAACACATTACTCAAACCTCCGTGACACATCGAAAGACTAAAGCCATACAATTTGTGATTGTGCTACCACGACATGCCAGATCGATCACGAGTACTCAGGAAATTTCAGTGCATGTCGCGACACTAGAACACTGGACGCACGTCACTGTTCACCACATCTTCCAAAGATTTAAACAGTTTTTACCTCTCCAGATTTCGAGTCGGCACATAAACGTTATCGATAGTGAGTTCGCGGTCGTCAATCATTTACGCCGCCAGGATCCAATGCAAGTTCAAGTTCACCTCACGAAGGACGCATAGTGCCGAATCGACCGTACGGGCACGGAAGTGTGGTAACACCGCTTTAACATCGTCGCTCAGACCATAAAGAAGATGTAAATACTCATTATCTCATTCGAAGCCCTCATAGGTGCTGTTCTGCTGCCTCCTAAATTGTACGATCTGTCGTCACGTCTTCACCTGGCATGCAATGTCCTGCCATTCTTTCTACATATGTGCACGACATCAAGATTAAGTGATTTTGGGCTTATTTACGAAGGCCATTACCTACTGCGTTAAGACCCGTACCTAATTTTATGTAACAGCCTTTGCCTGTCTCTATTGCTTAATCGTGCTAGTAGCGCACTCTTTATTTCACCGAGAAGTCCTTAATAACGACGTGGGACACCGCAACGCCCAACTGATCCCTTTCAACCACGTCTTAAAAACAATGTTGGAGATCCTTTACGACGAAGCAGCATACAGAAAAGTGATTCTTCGACATGTGTCTTATGTTAGCGAGTGATGATGCGGCGACTTGAACAGGATGTATGTTGCACATTACCACTAGTTGTATTGTTCTTTGGCAGATTCATGTCGTGGGATGTCAGCGATTCGACAAAGCATCGGATTGGCTCAGTCGTTTGGAAGGGGTATTCCACGCGGGTGAGTGCGGGTCCGAACCCCGTGCAAGTTAATTGTGACTGACACTCACGACCTGGTGCTTGGGGTTCACCAGAACTGTGACCCACCCGCAATTACGTCCCCCACAACCATGCAATCGTTTGCATTCTGTATATTACACAGCAGAGTTTTTTACGAAAGGTACTTACGAGACGTAATTACCCAGTGATGGGTAAAACGGAAAGCGTGGAGACAGGGCATGAAATAGGTGGCTGAGAGCCACCGGCTACTACTAGCCATTCGTTTTTGAAGCTAGGAACAATTTGAATACGACTCACTTTTCGGTTTCATCTCCGGCCGTAAGCCGTCTTCTTCTTAGCATCAGCTCCGCAATCTAGTTTAATTTTACAGGTTATGAGCCCAAGCAAAGACTCCAGTATCAAGGTCGAGCCTTTCGACGGCTCGAACTATGAGTTGTGGAGTTGCAAGATGAAGATGCACCTGATGTCGAAGGGGCTGTGGGGCGCGATCGTGGGCGATGAGACAACAAGTGAAGCCAAGGAACAGCAAGCCCACGCCGCGATCGTGCTCAATCTGAGCGACTCGCAGATGATGCATGTCATCGACTCGGCCACTGCAAGAGAAGCGTGGGGACATTTGGCGCAATATTATCACAGTCATGACATGGCGAATCGACTTTAGCTAAAGGAAAAATTCGCTTCGTTCAAGTATGCAGCATCGAGCATGAGCGGTCATGTAATGTAGATGGAGGACCTCGTGATGAAGATGGAGTGCGCGAACTGCGGTCCAAGTGAAGAGGACGTGTGCGCAGTACTGTTGCGGAGTCTACCTTAAAGATTCGAGAGCTTGGTACAGGCATTTCGCATTTCTGTCGCAAGCTTCAGTTTTAGTGACATCGTAAGCAAGTTGATCGCTAAAATAGTGCGCCAGAAGGAGGGAGCACGGGTAGAAGATGCAACGGCTATCTACACAGGCAAGAGTAAGGGTAAGCAGTACCCGAAGAAGCAACTTGAACGGCGCGCGAAAGGACCATTAGGTACCTGCTACAACTGTGGCAAAGTCGTACACTACGCAAGAGATTGTCGCTCCGGTCGAGGGCCAAGAGAGCACCAGCATGACCAGTCGAACGTCGCGTTCAATGCCAGCGGAGGTTTCGCGAGCGACAGCTGGGTCATGGATAGTGGCGCGTCAGCCACATGTGCAAGGATCGAGATGCGTTCGAAGAGTACGAAGAAGTGCATCACGCGCGAAGCATTTCAAGCGCAAAGAGCGACGTGAAGCTGAATGTCATTGGACATGGGACAGTGAAGCTGCGCGTCTGGACAGACCATGCCTTATCGACGCTAGCCTTGAGAACACACTTCACGTTCAAGATTTGTCCAAGAACCTGTTTTCGCTCACGGCTGCGGCAGCCCACGGCATGACAATGGAGATTACGCGCAACGCGTGCGTGGTGAAGCGTGGCGGCAAACCCGTCGCAACAGGAAGGAAGAAGGGGTTCCTATTGTATCTAAACGCTGACTATGGTACGGAGTGCCACATGGCTGAAGACGATGCAGAGCTGTGGCATAGAAGACTGGGCCACGTATCGTATGGTACGCTGAATGCCATGGTCAAGGACGGAAGGATCAAGGGCGCAACGATGAAGACGAAAGTTGCGTGTGACGTATGCGCAACGTCAAAGCAAGTGCGCAAGTCATTCAAGACAAGTGAAGAAGACGCTGAAACCAGTGAGAGTTTGCGTTCCGACGTGGTGGTGTGCTCCGACGTTCTCGGTCCTATCACACCAGCGTCCAAGTCTGGTTTCAGTTACGCCGTAACCTTCATCATGATGAAGAGCAGGTATGTAACGGTCTATCCGTTGCGAAAGAATAGCAACGTTGCGAGTGCGTTCAAGCGGTTTTACCAAGATATCAAGACAGCATCTGGAACGAAGATAAATGTGTTGCGGAGTGACAACGGCGGTGAATACCGGAACAAAACGATGAACAGCTTTTGCAAGGCAAAGTTCATCAAGCAAGAGTTCAAGGTTCCGTACAACCCAGAGCAGAACGGGATGGCGGAGCGGATGAACCGCACGCTGGTGGAGATGACGCGCTACATGCTCAAGGAAAGCGGTCTCGAAAAGTCGTACTGGTGCGAGGCACTAATGACAGCGGCAGACATCAAAAACATTCTGCCGAACGCGTCGAACAAGAACATAAGCTCACACGAGATGGTGTTAAAGAAGGTTCCGCGCATCCGTCACATGCGCATATTTGGTGCGCAATGCTATGCGCATGTGGCAAAGGAGAAGAGGAAGAAGCTGGTCGAATCAGACGTGTGATGTTTCTATCTCGGCTATGCGAAGGATCAAAAGGCGTATCGGCTTCTTGACGCGGACGTTGGCTCAATCGTGATTTCAAGAAGCGTCACGTTCGCTGAGAATTCTGTCTCGAAAAAATCGATAAGCAGAGACACGCGGGTGTTCGATGTCATTGAAGAAGAGGAAAGTGTGGAGGCGTCGCTACCCGATGATGAAGACAAACCAGCGCCGGTGACCGAAGAAGAGCTACGCACCCCACCACTTCGAGCGCAGAACAGCTCTCATCCCGGACCAAGTGATCGACCAAGCGACACCATTCCTACGCGCGCATCCAGCACACCCGGAAGAAATGGAGAAGAAGAGCGGATGGTACGACCGGTTCGGAAGAAGCGCGGCGTGGTTCGCTACGATCAAGAATTTCCAAGCCATCGTCGCGGTCACTTCCATTTGGACGACTACGAAGGTGACTTCGACTCTTTCTACTGTTTCTCGGCTGAAGAAGATGGGGAACAAGCGTTCAGCTATCAAGAAGGAATGAAGAGCAGCTACAAGGAGCAGTGACTGCAGGCAATGAAGCGAGAGATGAAGTCGCTTGAAGAACACAGCACATGGAAGCTAGTGGACATGCCACCGGGCAAGAAGGCCGTTGGCTACAAGTGGGTCTTCAAGATCAAACGCGATCCAAGTGGGGAGATCATCAAGTTCAAGGCACGCTTGGTTGTTAAATGGTTCACGCAGCGTCCTGGTATCAACTACAACGAGACCTTTGCACCAGTGGCGCGCAAGGAATCTATCAACACAGTGTTGGCGATCGCTGCAGCTGAAGACCTGGAAGCAGAAAACGTTGATGTCGACACAGCGTTTCTCTATGGCGAAGTGGAAGAGGAGATCTACATGGACCAACCTGACGGTTTTGAAGATGAAGGAAGCCCGAATAAGAAGTGTTTGCTGCAAAAGGCGCTATACGAGACGAAGCAAGCGGCGCGGCAGTGGAACATCAAGTTGAGTCAGCACTTGAATGATCAAGGGTTCAAGAGCAGTGCAGCGGACCCGTGTGTGTTCGTTCGAGTGAAAAGAGAGGAGTACAGCATTATCGTGATTTACGTGGACGACTTGATGATTTTCTGCAAGACGAAGGGGCACATCGCAAGTACCAAGAACTCATTGATGGAAGATTTCAGCAATAAAGATCTTGGAGATCTCAAGTACTGCCTCGGGATCGAGATTCATCGCAAGCGCGAAGATGGAACGATCAAGATGAACCAGAAGGCGTACATCAAGCGACTTTCGGAGAAGTTTGGCGTTGAAAACTGCAAGGACGTGCACACGCCGGCGGACAGTAACTCGAAGCTGATCAAGATGGGTCAAGAGGAAGCGTTTGTACCAAAGTACCCATACCGTGGGCTGGTGGGCGCTTCAATGTACATCGCCACGTGTACTCGACCGGACATTGCGCATGCGTTTGGCGAAGTTGTGAAGTTTTGTGAGCGCTACGACAAGTCGCATTGGACAGCAGCAAAGCGGAGTTCTTAAGTATCTCAAGACGACTCAAGACTTAATCATCGTGTTCAGCGGCATCAACAAGGGAGAGCTGATTGGATTCGCGGGTGCAAACTGGGCTGGCGACCTCGACACGGCGTTCGACAACAGGATACGTTTTCTTCTTGAACGGAAGCGTGATATCGTGGAATTCGAAGCGTCAACCAACGGTCGCGACCTCAAGTACTGAAGCAGAGTACATGAGTCTGTACAGCGCGACGCAGGAAGCAATTTGGCTTCGAGGTTTGATCAAGGATCTAAACTACTATGCCAAGAACGCGACGTCAATTTTCAAGACAATCAAGGTTGCATCGCGCTGGCCAAGAACCCTGTGTACCACTCGCGCACGAAGCACATCGACATCAAGTTTCATTTTTTGCGTGAAAAGGTTGCAAGTGCAGTGATTGCGCTAGAGTTCAAGCCGACAGAAGAAATGGTCGCGGGTGGATTCACCAAGGCACTTCCAAGAGACAAGCACAGCAAGTTCATCACGGGTCTGTGCATGGCGGTGTAGGGCGCACACGTCGCACGCACATCAAGGGACAGTGTTAGCGAGTGATGATGCGGCAACTTGTGCAGGGTGTATATTGCATATTTGCATCAGTTGTATTGTTCTTTGGCAGTTTTATATTGTGGGATGTTAGCGATACGACAAGGCATCGGAATGGCTCAGTCTTTGAGGAAGGGGTATTCCATGCGGGTGAGTGCGGGTTCGAACCCCGCCGTGTACAAGTTAATTGTGGCTGACACTCACGACCTGTTGTTTGGGGCACATCAGAACTGTGACCCGCCCGCAGTTACGTCCCCCACCCATGCAATCGTTTACATTCTGCATATGACACAGCAGGGTTTATACGAAAGGTATTTACGGCACGTAATTACCCAGTGATAGGTAAAACGGATAGCGGTGGAGACAGGGCACGAAATAGGTGGCTGAGAGCCACCGGCTACTACTAGCCATTCGTTTTCAAAGCTAGTAACAATTTGAATACAACTCACTTTTCGGTTTTCATCCCCGGCCGTAAGCCATCTTCTTCAGAGTATCAGCTCCGCAACCTAGTTAATTCTAACAGGTTATGAGCCCAAAGAACAACTCCGGTTTCAAGGTCGAGTCTTTCGACGGCTCGATCTATGGGTTGTGGAGTTACAAGATGAAGATGTACCTGATGTAGAAGGGGCTGTGGGGCGCGATCGCGGGCGATGAGACAACAAGTGAGGCCAAGGAACAGCAAGCCCACGCCGCGATCGTGCTTAATCTGAGCGATTCGCAGTTAATGCATGTCATCGACTCGGCCACTGCAAGAGAAGCGTGGAAACGTTTGGCGCGATTTCATCACAGTCATGACATGGCGAATCGATTTTGGCTGAAGGAAAAGTTCGCGTCGTTCAAGTATGCAGCATCAAGCATGAGCGGTCATGTGATGGAGCTGGAGGACCTCGTGATGAAGATCAAGCGCGCGAGATGCGGTCCAAGTGAGGAGGACTTGTGCGCGGTACTGTTGCGAAGTCAACTCACTCGACAGCTTGGTACAGGCATTCCGCATGTCCGTCGCAAGCTTCAGTTTTAGTGACCTCGTGAGCAAGTTGATCACCAAAGAAGTGCGCCAGAATGAGGCTGCACGGGTAGAAGATGCAACGGCTCTCTACGCAGGCAAGAGGAAGGGTAAGCAGTACCCGAAGAAGCAACAAGGACGGTGCGCGAAAGGACCATCAGGGACCTGCTACAACTGTGGCAAGGTCGGACACAACGCCAGAGATTGTCGCTCAGGTCGAGGGCCAAGGGAGCAACAGCATGACCAGTCGAATGTCGCGTTTAATGTCAGCGAAGGTTTCGCGAGCGACAGCTGGGCCATGTACAGTGGCGCGTCAGCACACATGTGCGAGGATCGAGATGCGTTCGAAGATTACGAAGAAGTGCATCATGCGCGAAGTATTTCAAGCGCAAAGAGCGACGTGCAGCTGAATGTCATCGGACATGGGACAGTGAAGCTGCGCGTCTGGACAGGGCATGCGTGGATCGATGCTCGCCTTGAGAACACACTTCACGTTCAAGATTTGTCCAAGAACCTGTTTTTGCTCACGGCTGCGGCAGCGCGTGGCATGACAGTGGAGATAACGCGCAACGAGTGCATGGTGAAGCGTGGCGGCAAACCCGTCGGAACAGGAAGGAAGCAGGGGTTCCTACTGTATTTCAACGCTGATTATGGTACGGAGTGCCACATGGCCAAAGACGATACAGAGCTATGGCATAGAAGACTGGGTCACGTGTCGTATGGTACGCTGAATGCCATGGTTAAGGACGGTAGTATCAAGGGCGCAACGGTGAAGACGAACGTTGCGTGTGACGTATGCAACGTCAAAGCAAGTTCGCAAGTCATTCAAGACAAGCGAAGAAGACGCTGAAACCAGGGAGAGTTTGCGTTCCGACGTGGTGGTGTGCTCCGACGTTCTCGGACCTATCACGCCAGCGTCTAAGTCTAGTTTCAGTTAGGCCGTAACCTTCATCATGATGAAGAGCAGGTATGTAACGGTCTATCCGTTGCGAAAGAAGAGCGACGTTGCGAGTGCGTTCAAGCGGTTGTACAAAGAGATCAAGACAGCGTCTGGAACGAAGATAAAGGTGTTGCGAAGTGACAACGGCGGCGAATACCGGAACGAAACGATGAACAAATTTTGCAAGGCAAAGTTCATTAAGCAAGAGTTCACGGTTCCGTACAACCCAGAGCAGAACGGGATGGCGGAGCGGATAAACCGCACGCTGGTGGAGATGACACGCTGTATGCTCAAGGAAAACGGCCTCGACAAGTCGTACTGGTGCGAGGCACTGATGACATCTGCATACATCAGAAACATTCTGCCGAACGCGTCGAACAAGAACTCAAGCCCACACGAGATGGTGCTCAAGAAGGTTCCGCGCATCGACCACATGCACGTGTTTGGTGCGCAATGCTATGCGCATGTGGCGAAGGAGAAGAGGAAGAAGCTGGATGACTCAGGCGTGTGATGTTTCTTTCTCGGCTACGCGAAGGATCAAAAGGCGTTGGCTTCTTAGTGCGGACGATGGCTCAATTTTGATTTCAAGAAGCGTCACGTTCGCTGATCGTTCTGCCTCGAAAGTGTCAAAAACCAGAGACACGCGGTTGCTCGATGTCATTGAAGACGAGGAAAGTGTGGAGGCGTTGCTACCCGATGATGAAGACATGCAAACGCCGGTGACCGAAAAAGAGCTACGCACCTCGCCACTTCGAGTGCAAAACAGATATCGTCACGGTCCATGTGATCGACTAAGCGACACCATTTCAACGCGCGCATCCAGCACACCCGGAAGAAATGGAGAAGAAGAGTGGATGGTGTGACCGGTTCGGAAGAAGCGCGGCGTGGTTCGCTATGAACAAGAATTTTCAAGCCATCGTCGCGGTCACTTCAATTTGGACGACTACGAAGGAGACTTCGACTCTTTCTACTATTTCTCGGCTAAATAAGACGGGGAACAAGGGTCCAGCCAGAAGTGATGAAGAGCAGCTACAAGGAGCAGTGGCTGCAGGCAATGAAGAGTGAGATGAAGTCGCTTGAAGAAAACAGCACATGGAAGCTAGTGGACATGCCACCGGGCAAGAAGGCCGTAGGCTGTAAGTGGGTCTTCACAGATTAAACGCGATCCAAGTGGGAAGATCATCAAGTCAAGGCGCGCTTGGTTGCGAAAGAGTTCACGCAGCGTCCTGGCATCGACTACAACGAGACCTTTGCACCAGTGGCGCGCAAGGAATCTATCAACACAGCGTTAGCGATCGCTGCAGCTGAAGACCTGGAAGCAGAAAATGCTGATGTCGACACAGCGTTTCTCTACGGCGAAGTGGAAGAGGAGATCTACATGGACCAACCTGACGGTTTTGAGGATGAAGGAAGCCCGAAAAAGAAGAGTGTTTGCTGCAGAAGGCGCTATACGGGACGAAGCAAGCGGCGCGGCAGTGGAAAAATAAGTTGAGTCAGCACTTGGATGATCAAGGGTTCAAGAGCAGTGCAGCGGACCCGTGTGTGTTCGTTCGAGTGACAAGAGAGGAGTACAGCATCATCGTGATCTACGTGGACGACTTAATGCTTTTCTGCAAGACGAAGGGGCACATCGCAAGTATCAAGAACTCATTGATGGAAGATTTCAGCATTAAAGATCTTGGAGATCTCAAGTACTGCCTAGGGATCGAGATTCATCGCAAGCGCGAAGATGGAACGATAAAGATGAACCAGAAGGCGTACATCAAGCGACTTTCGGAGAAGTTTGGCGTTGAAAACTGCAAGGACGTGCACACGCCGGCAGACAGTAACTCGAAGCTGATCAAGATGGGTCAAGAGGAAGCGTTTGTACCAAAGTACCCATACCGTGGGCTGGTGGGCGCTTCAATGTACATCGCCACGTGTACTCGACCGGACATTGCGCATGCGTTTGGCGAAGTTGTGAAGTTTTGTGAGCGCTACGACAAGTCGCATTGGACAGCAGCAAAGCGGATTCTTGAGTATCTCAAGACGACTCAAGACTTAATCATCGTGTTCAGCGGCATCAACAAGGGAGAGCTGATTGGATTCGCGGGTGCAAACTGGGCTGGCGACCTCGACACGGCGTTCGACAACAGGATACGTTTTCTTCTTGAACGGAAGCGTGATATCGTGGAATTCGAAGCGTCAACCAACGGTCGCGACCTCAAGTACTGAAGCAGAGTACATGAGTCTGTACAGCGCGACGCAGGAAGCAATTTGGCTTCGAGGTTTGATCAAGGATCTAAACTACTATGCCAAGAACGCGACGTCAATTTTTCAAGACAATCAAGGTTGCATCGCGCTGGCCAAGAACCCTGTGTACCACTCGCGCACGAAGCACATCGACATCAAGTTTCATTTTTGCGTGAAAAGGTTGCAAGTGCAGTGATTGCGCTAGAGTTCAAGCCGACAGAAGAAATGGTCGCGGGTGGATTCACCAAGGCACTTCCAAGAGACAAGCACAGCAAGTTCATCACGGGTCTGTGCATGGCGGTGTAGGGCGCACACGTCGCACGCACATCAAGGGACAGTGTTAGCGAGTGATGATGCGGCGACTTGTGCAGAGTGTATATTGCATATTTGCATTAGTTGTATTGTTCTTTGGCAGGTTATATTGTGGGATGTTAGCGATACGACAAGGCATCGGAATGGCTCAGTTTTGAGAAGGGGTATTCCATGCGGGTGAGTGCGGGTTCGAACCCCGCCGTGTTCACGTAAATTGTGACTGACACTCACGACCTGGTGTTTGGGGTTCATCAGTACTGTGACCCGCCCGCAGTTACGTCCCCCACCCACGCAATCGTTTACATTCTGCATATGACACAGCAGAGTTTTTACGAAAGGTATTTACGGGACGTAATTACCCAGTGATAGGTAAAACGGATAGTGGTGGAGACAGGGCACGAAATAGGTGGTTGAGAGCCACCGGCTACTACTAGCCACTCGTTTTCGAACTAGGAACAATTTGAATACAACTCACTTTTCGGTTTTCATCCCCGGCCGTAAGCCATCTTCTTCCGAGTATCAGCTCCGCAACCTAGTTAATTCTAACAGGTTATGAGCCCAAAGAACAACTCCGGTTTCAAGGTCGAGTCTTTCGACGGCTTGATCTATGGGTTGTGGAGTTACAAGATGAAGATGTACCTGATGTAGAAGGGGCTGTGGGGCGCGATCGCGGGCGATGAGACAACAAGTGAGGCCAAGGAACAGCAAGCCCACGCCGCGATCGTGCTTAATCTGAGCGATTCGCAGTTAATGCATGTCATCGACTAGGCCACTGCAAGAGAAGCGTGGGGACGTTTGGCGCGATTTCATCACAGTCATGACATGGCGAATCGATTTTGGCTGAAGGAAAAGTTCGCGTCGTTCAAGTATGCAGCATCAAGCATGAGCGGTCATGTGATGGAGCTGGAGGACCTCGTGATGAAGATCAAGCGCGCGAGATGCGGTCCAAGTGAGGAGGACTTGTGCGCGGTACTGTTGCGAAGTCAATCTCTGACAGCTTGGTACAGGCATTCCGCATGTCCGTCGCAAGCTTCAGTTTTAGTGACCTCGTGAGCAAGTTGATCACCGAAGAAGTGCGCCAGAATGAGGCTGCACGGGTAGAAGATGCAACGGCTCTCTACGCAGGCAAGAGGAAGGGTAAGCAGTACCCGAAGAAGCAACAAGGACGGTGCGCGAAAGGACCATCAGGGACCTGCTACAACTGTGGCAAGGTCGGACACAACGCCAGAGATTGTCGCTCAGGTCGAGGGCCAAGGGAGCAACAGCATGACCAGTCGAATGTCGCGTTTAATGTCAGCGAAGGTTTCGCGAGCGACAGCTGGGCCATGTACAGTGGCGCGTCAGCACACATGTGCGAGGATCGAGATGCGTTCGAAGATTACGAAGAAGTGCATCATGCGCGAAGTATTTCAAGCGCAAAGAGCGACGTGCAGCTGAATGTCATCGGACATGGGACAGTGAAGCTGCGCGTCTGGACAGGGCATGCGTGGATCGATGCTCGCCTTGAGAACACACTTCACGTTCAAGATTTGTCCAAGAACCTGTTTTTGCTCACGGCTGCGGCAGCACGTGGCATGACAGTGGAGATAACGCGCAACGAGTGCATGGTGAAGCGTGGCGGCAAACCCGTCGGAACAGGAAGGAAGCAGGGGTTCCTACTGTATTTCAACGCTGATTATGGTACGGAGTGCCACATGGCCAAAGACGATACAGAGCTATGGCATAGAAGACTGGGTCACGTGTCGTATGGTACGCTGAATGCCATGGTTAAGGACGGTAGTATCAAGGGCGCAACGGTGAAGACGAACGTTGCGTGTGACGTATGCAACGTCAAAGCAAGTTCGCAAGTCATTCAAGACAAGCGAAGAAGACGCTGAAACCAGGGAGAGTTTGCGTTCCGACGTGGTGGTGTGCTCCGACGTTCTCGGACCTATCACGCCAGCGTCTAAGTCTGGTTTCAGTTAGGCCGTAACCTTCATCATGATGAAGAGCAGGTATGTAACGGTCTATCCGTTGCGAAAGAAGAGCGACGTTGCGAGTGCGTTCAAGCGGTTGTACAAAGAGATCAAGACAGCGTCTGGAACGAAGATAAAGGTGTTGCGAAGTGACAACGGCGGCGAATACCGGAACGAAACGATGAACAAATTTTGCAAGGCAAAGTTCATTAAGCAAGAGTTCACGGTTCCGTACAACCCAGAGCAGAACGGGATGGCGGAGCGGATAAACCGCACGCTGGTGGAGATGACACGCTGTATGCTCAAGGAAAACGGCCTCGACAAGTCGTACTGGTGCGAGGCACTGATGACATCTGCATACATCAGAAACATTCTGCCGAACGCGTCGAACAAGAACTCAAGCCCACACGAGATGGTGTTCAAGAAGGTTCCGCGCATCGACCACATGCACGTGTTTGGTGCGCAATGCTATGCGCATGCGGCGAAGGAGAAGAGGAAGAAGCTGGATGACTCAGGCGTGTGATGTTTCTTTCTCGGCTACGCGAAGGATCAAAAGGCGTTGGCTTCTTAGTGCGGACGATGGCTCAATTTTGATTTCAAGAAGCGTCACGTTCGCTGATCGTTCTGCCTCGAAAGTGTCAAAAACCAGAGACACGCGGTTGCTCGATGTCATTGAAGACGAGGAAAGTGTGGAGGCGTTGCTACCCGATGATGAAGACATGCAAACGCCGGTGACCGAAAAAGAGCTACGCACCTCGCCACTTCGAGTGCAAAACAGATATCGTCACGGTCCATGTGATCGACTAAGCGACACCATTTCAACGCGCGCATCCAGCACACCCGGAAGAAATGGAGAAGAAGAGTGGATGGTGTGACCGGTTCGGAAGAAGCGCGGCGTGGTTCGCTATGAACAAGAATTTTCAAGCCATCGTCGCGGTCACTTCAATTTGGACGACTACGAAGGAGACTTCGACTCTTTCTACTATTTCTCGGCTAAATAAGACGGGGAACAAGGGTCCAGCCAGAAGTGATGAAGAGCAGCTACAAGGAGCAGTGGCTGCAGGCAATGAAGAGTGAGATGAAGTCGCTTGAAGAAAACAGCACATGGAAGCTAGTGGACATGCCACCGGGCAAGAAGGCCGTAGGCTGTAAGTGGGTCTTCACAGATTAAACGCGATCCAAGTGGGAAGATCATCAAGTTCTAGGCGCGCTTGGTTGCGAAAGAGTTCACGCAGCGTCCTGGCATCGACTACAACGAGACCTTTGCACCAGTGGCGCGCAAGGAATCTATCAACACAGCGTTAGCGATCGCTGCAGCTGAAGACCTGGAAGCAGAAAATGCTGATGTCGACACAGCGTTTCTCTACGGCGAAGTGGAAGAGGAGATCTACATGGACCAACCTGACGGTTTTGAGGATGAAGGAAGCCCGAAAAAGAAGTGTTTGCTGCAGAAGGCGCTATACGGGACGAAGCAAGCGGCGCGGCAGTGGAAAAATAAGTTGAGTCAGCACTTGGATGATCAAGGGTTCAAGAGCAGTGCAGCGGACCCGTGTGTGTTCGTTCGAGTGACAAGAGAGGAGTACAGCATCATCGTGATCTACGTGGACGACTTAATGCTTTTCTGCAAGACGAAGGGGCACATCGCAAGTATCAAGAACTCATTGATGGAAGATTTCAGCATTAAAGATCTTGGAGATCTCAAGTACTGCCTAGGGATCGAGATTCATCGCAAGCGCGAAGATGGAACGATCAAGATGAACCAGAAGGCGTACATCAAGCGACTTTCGGAGAAGTTTGGCGTTGAAAACTGCAAGGACGTGCACACGCCGGCAGACAGTAACTCGAAGCTGATCAAGATGGGTCAAGAGGAAGCGTTTGTACCAATGTACACATACCGTGGGCTGGTGGGCGCTTCAATGTACATCGCCACGTGTACTCGACCGGACATTGCGCATGCGGTTGGCGAAGTTGTGAAGTTTTGTGAGCGCTACGACAAGTCGCATTGGACAGCAGCAAAGCGGATTCTTGAGTATCTCAAGACGACTCAAGACTTAATCATCGTGTTCAGCGGCATCAACAAGGGAGAGCTGATTGGATTCGCGGGTGCAAACTGGGCTGGCGACCTCGACACGGCGTTCGACAACAGGATACGTTTTCTTCTTGAACGGAAGCGTGATATCGTGGAATTCGAAGCGTCAACCAACGGTCGCGACCTCAAGTACTGAAGCAGAGTACATGAGTCTGTACAGCGCGACGCAGGAAGCAATTTGGCTTCGAGGTTTGCTCAAGGATCTAAACTACTATGCCAAGAACGCGACGTCAATTTTTCAAGACAATCAAGGTTGCATCGCGCTGGCCAAGAACCCTGTGTACCACTCGCGCACGAAGCACATCGACATCAAGTTTCATTTTTTGCGTGAAAAGGTTGCAAGTGCAGTGATTGCGCTAGAGTTCAAGCCGACAGAAGAAATGGTCGCGGGTGGATTCACCAAGGCACTTCCAAGAGACAAGCACAGCAAGTTCATCACGGGTCTGTGCATGGCGGTGTAGGGCGCACACGTCGCACGCACATCAAGGGAGAGTGTTAGCGAGTGATGATGCGGCGACTTGTGCAGAGTGTATATTGCATATTTGCATTAGTTGTATTGTTCTTTGGCAGGTTATATTGTGGGATGTTAGCGATACGACAAGGCATCGGAATGGCTCAGTTTTGAGAAGGGGTATTCCATGCGGGTGAGTGCGGGTTCGAACCCCGCCGTGTTCACGTAAATTGTGACTGACACTCACGACCTGGTGTTTGGGGTTCATCAGTACTGTGACCCGCCCGCAGTTACGTCCCCCACCCACGCAATCGTTTACATTCTGCATATGACACAGCAGAGTTTTTACGAAAGGTATTTACGGGACGTAATTACCCAGTGATAGGTAAAACGGATAGTGGTGGAGACAGGGCACGAAATAGGTGGTTGAGAGCCACCGGCTATTACTAGCCACTCGTTTTCGAACTAGGAACAATTTGAACACAACTCACTTTTCGGTTTTCATCCCCGGCCGTAAGCCATCTTCTTCCGAGTATCAGCTCCGCAACCTAGTTAATTCTAACAGGTTATGAGCCCAAAGAACAACTCCGGTTTCAAGGTCGAGTCTTTCGACGGCTTGATCTATGGGTTGTGGAGTTACAAGATGAAGATGTACCTGATGTAGAAGGGGCTGTGGGGCGCGATCGCGGGCGATGAGACAACAAGTGAGGCCAAGGAACAGCAAGCCCACGCCGCGATCGTGCTTAATCTGAGCGATTCGCAGTTAATGCATGTCATCGACTCGGCCACTGCAAGAGAAGCGTGGAAACGTTTGGCGCGATTTCATCACAGTCATGACATGGCGAATCGATTTTGGCTGAAGGAAAAGTTCGCGTCGTTCAAGTATGCAGCATCAAGCATGAGCGGTCATGTGATGGAGCTGGAGGACCTCGTGATGAAGATCAAGCGCGCGAGATGCGGTCCAAGTGAGGAGGACTTGTGCGCGGTACTGTTGCGAAGTCAATCTCTGACAGCTTGGTACAGGCATTCCGCATGTCCGTCGCAAGCTTCAGTTTTAGTGACCTCGTGAGCAAGTTGATCACCGAAGAAGTGCGCCAGAATGAGGCTGCACGGGTAGAAGATGCAACGGCTCTCTACGCAGGCAAGAGGAAGGGTAAGCAGTACCCGAAGAAGCAACAAGGACGGTGCGCGAAAGGACCATCAGGGACCTGCTACAACTGTGGCAAGGTCGGACACAACGCCAGAGATTGTCGCTCAGGTCGAGGGCCAAGGGAGCAACAGCATAACCAGTCGAATGTCGCGTTTAATGTCAGCGAAGGTTTCGCGAGCGACAGCTGGGTCATGGACAGTGGCGCGTCAGCACACATGTGCAAGGATCGAGATGCGTTCGAAGATTACGAAGAAGTGCATCATGCGCGAAGTATTTCAAGCGCAAAGAGCGACGTGCAGCTGAATGTCATCGGACATGGGACAGTGAAGCTGCGCGTCTGGACAGGGCATGCGTGGATCGATGCTCGCCTTGAGAACACACTTCACGTTCAAGATTTGTCCAAGAACCTGTTTTTGCTCACGGCTGCGGCAGCGCGCGGCATGACAGTGGAGATAACGCGCAACGAGTGCATGGTGAAGCGTGGCGGCAAACCCGTCGGAACAGGAAGGAAGCAGGGGTTCCTACTGTATCTCAACGCTGATTATGGTACGGAGTGCCACATGGCCAAAGACGATACAGAGCTATGGCATAGAATACTGGGTCACGTGTCGTATGGTACGCTGAATGCCATGGTTAAGGACGGTAGTATCAAGGGCGCAACGGTGAAGACGAACGTTGCGTGTGACGTATGCAACGTCAAAGCAAGTTCGCAAGTCATTCAAGACAAGCGAAGAAGACGCTGAAACCAGGGAGAGTTTGCGTTCCGACGTGGTGGTGTGCTCCGACGTTCTCGGACCTATCACGCCAGCGTCTAAGTCTAGTTTCAGTTAGGCCGTAACCTTCATCATGATGAAGAGCAGGTATGTAACGGTCTATCCGTTGCGAAAGAAGAGCGACGTTGCGAGTGCGTTCAAGCGGTTGTACAAAGAGATCAAGACAGCGTCTGGAACGAAGATAAAGGTGTTGCGAAGTGACAACGGCGGCGAATACCGGAACGAAACGATGAACAAATTTTGCAAGGCAAAGTTCATTAAGCAAGAGTTCACGGTTCCGTACAACCCAGAGCAGAACGGGATGGCGGAGCGGATAAACCGCACGCTGGTGGAGATGACACGCTGTATGCTCAAGGAAAGCGGCCTCGACAAGTCGTACTGGTGCGAGGCACTGATGACATCTACATACATCAGAAACATTCTGCCGAACGCGTCGAACAAGAACTCAAGCCCACACGAGATGGTGTTCAAGAAGGTTCCGCGCATCGATCACATGCACGTGTTTGGTGCGCAATTCTATGCGCATGTGGCGAAGGAGAAGAGGAAGAAGCTGGATGACTCAGGCGTGCGATGTTTCTTTCTCGGCTACGCGAAGGATCAAAAGGCGTTGGCTTCTTAGTGCGGACGATGGCTCAATTTTGATTTCAAGAAGCGTCACGTTCGCTGATCGTTCTGCCTCGAAAGTGTCAAAAACCAGAGACACGCGGTTGCTCGATGTCATTGAAGACGAGGAAAGTGTGGAGGCGTTGCTACCCGATGATGAAGACATGCAAACGCCGGTGACCGAAAAAGAGCTACGCACCTCGCCACTTCGAGTGCAAAACAGATATCGTCACGGTCCATGTGATCGACTAAGCGACACCATTCCTACGCGCGCATCGAGCACACCCGGAAGAAGTGGAGAAGAAGAGTGAATGGTGTGACCGGTTCGGAAGAAGCGCGGCGTGGTTCGCTACGAACAAGAATTTTCAAGCCATCGTCGCGGTCACTTCGATTTGGACGACTACGAAGGTGACTTCGACTCTTTCTACTATTTCTCGGCTAAATAAGACGGGGAACAAGGGTCCAGCCAGAAGTGATGAAGAGCAGCTACAAGGAGCAGTGGCTGCAGGCAATGAAGAGTGAGATGAAGTCGCTTGAAGAAAACAGCACATGGAAGCTAGTGGACATGCCACCGGGCAAGAAGGCCGTAGGCTGTAAGTGGGTCTTCACAGATTAAACGCGATCCAAGTGGGAAGATCATCAAGTTCAAGGCGCGCTTGGTTGCGAAAGAGTTCACGCAGCGTCCTGGCATCGACTACAACGAGACCTTTGCACCAGTGGCGCGCAAGGAATCTATCAACACAGCGTTAGCGATCGCTGCAGCTGAAGACCTGGAAGCAGAAAATGCTGATGTCGACACAGTGTTTCTCTACGGCGAAGTGGAAGAGGAGATCTACATGGACCAACCTGACGGTTTTGAAGATGAAGGAAGCCCGAAAAAGAAGTGTTTGCTGCAGAAGGCGCTATACGGGACGAAGCAAGCGGCGCGGCAGTGGAGCAATAAGTTGAGTCAGCACTTGGATGATCAAGGGTTCAAGAGCAGTGCAGCGGACCCGTGTGTGTTCGTTCGAGTGACAAGAGAGGAGTAAAGCATCATCGTGATCTACGTGGACGACTTAATGCTTTTCTGCAAGACGAAGGGGCACATCGCAAGTATCTGTTGTAAGTGCATGATGCACTGGATTCGACTCCAGAGATTCGACCCATGATAGGGTATGTCTAGAATGTTCTTTAGGGTTCTATGCATTATTATAGGTCGTACGGCAGCTAGACGTATGGATAGTTTTCACTTGTAGATTGACAAACCACTGATGAGGCCCCCGGCGGGGGGCCGAAACGCGTCTGGTACGCGGTAATATACAAGTTATTTACTTTACTTAGCTCCTACTTTTTACAGGTTATGAGCCCAAGTGCTCGCTGCAGACACCTCATTAAGGACCAACTTGTGCGAGGGACACCCCGTCAGAGAAGGCGCTCGATGCACGAGTAAGGCGCCGAAGAATTCATCGACAGGGACCGTTGACGGTGCGCGTGCAGTCGAAAAGGGTTTGTGCAAGGGTGGTGACGCGAGATGGTCTGAATGCGCGAGTGCTATCGAAGGAAGAGTCAAGTCAAGTGGTGAAAAAAGTTGTTTTGTGGGAAGAAGAGGGGGGAACTACAAACAAGGGGAACGGCGACTACGGGAGGTCAAGATGTGACATGGTGCTGGACGATGGGGGAGCCGGAATACCTGGAACGCTCGGTATCATCGAGGTTGGCTGGAGCGCAGGGGCAAGACTCAATCAAGATTCCCATGGTGCACGGATGCAGCAGTGAGGATTACAGGCGGGTCGATACCAAAGTGGTCTGCATCTCATGTCGTCGAGGGGGAGTGTTGCAAGTGCATGATGCACTGGATTCGACTCCAGAGATTCGACCCATGATAGGGTATGTCTAGAATGTTCTTTAGGGTTCTATGCATTATTATAGGTCGTACGGCAGCTAGACGTATGGATAGTTCTCACTTGTAGATTGACAAACCACTGATGAGGCCCCCGGCGGGGGGCCGAAACGCGTCTGGTGCGCGGTAATATACAAGTTATTTACTTTACTTAGCTCCTACTTTTTACAGTATCAATAACTCATTGATGGAAGATTTCAGCATTAAAGATCTTGGAGATCTCAAGTACTGCCTAGGGATCGAGATTCATCGCAAGCGCGAAGATGGAACGATCAAGATGAACCAGAAGGCGTACATCAAGTGACTTTCGGAGAAGTTTGGCGTTGAAAACTGCAAGGACGTGCACACGCCGGCAGACAGTAACTCGAAGCTGATCAAGATGGGTCAAGAGGAAGCGTTTGTACCAATGTACACATACCGTGGGCTGGTGGGCGCTTTAATGTACATCGCCACGTGTACTCGACCGGACATTGCGCATGCGGTTGGCGAAGTTGCGAAGTCTTGCGATTGCTACGACAAGTCGCATTGGACAGCAGCAAAGCGGATTCTCGAGTATCTCAAGACGACTCAAGACTTAAGCATCGTGTTCAGCGGCATCAACAAGGGAGAGCTGATTGGATTCGCGGGTGCAAACTGGGCTGGCGACCTCGACACGGCGTTCGACAACAGGATACGTTTTCTTCTTGAACGGAAGCGTGATATCGTGGAATTCGAAGCGTCAACCAACGGTCGCGACCTCAAGTACTGAAGCAGAGTACATGAGTCTGTACAGCGCGACGCAGGAAGCAATTTGGCTTCGAGGTTTGCTCAAGGATCTAAACTACTATGCCAAGAACGCGACGTCAATTTTTCAAGACAATCAAGGTTGCATCGCGCTGGCCAAGAACCCTGTGTACCACTCGCGCACGAAGCACATCGACATCAAGTTTCATTTTTTGCGTGAAAAGGTTGCAAGTGCAGTGATTGCGCTAGAGTTCAAGCCGACAGAAGAAATGGTCGCGGATGGATTCACCAAGGCACTTCCAAGAGACAAGCACAGCAAGTTCATCACGGGTCTGTGCATGGCGGTGTAGGGCGCACACGTCGCACGCACATCAAGGGAGAGTGTTAGCGAGTGATGATGCGGCGACTTGTGCAGAGTGTATATTGCATATTTGCATTAGTTGTATTGTTCTTTGGCAGGTTTATATTGTGGGATGTTAGCGATACGACAAAGCATCAGATTGTTGGTCGTCTGGGAAGGGGATTCCACTCGGGTAAGTGCGGGTTCGCACCATGCCGTGTTCACGTAAATTGTGACTGACACTCACGACCTGGTGTTTGGGGATCACCAGTACTGTGACCAGCCCGCAGTTACGTCCCCCACCCACGCAATCGTTTACATTCTGCATATGACACAGCAGAGTTTTTACGAAAGGTATTTACGGGACGTAATTACCCAGTGATAGGCAAAACGGATAGTGGTGGAGACAGGGCACGAAATAGGTGGTTGAGAGCCACCGGCTATTACTAGCCACTCGTTTTCGAACTAGGAACAATTTGAACACAACTCACTTTTCGGTTTTCATCCCCGGCCGTAAGCCATCTTCTTCTTAGCATCAGCTCCGCAACCTAGTTAATTCTAACAGGTATAACTTGCTCATCGTACGTAATAAGATGCAAACTGTTTCCTTATACAGGTAGCCATGTACATAGGTTCAGCGCTGTAACAATATGTAGCTGCGATTGCATAGAAAGTGCTTGTCCCATATGGGCCAACGTCCGCAAATGATCGGCTCAAAAGTAACAAAGAACATGCAACATGTTAGAATTAACTAGGTTGCGGAGCTGATGAGAAGAAGAAGATGGCTTACGGCCGGGGATGAAAACCGAAAAGTGAGTTGTATTCAAATTGTTCCTAGCTTCGAAAACGAATGGCTAGTAGTAGCCAGTGACTCTCAGCCACCTATTTCGTGCCCTGTCTCCACCGCTTTCTGTTTTACCTATCACTGGGTAATTACGTCTCGTAAATACCTTTCGTAAAAACTCTGCTGTGTCATATGCTGAATGAAAACGATTGCGTGGGTGGGGGACGTAACTGCGGGCGGGTCACAGTACTGATGAACCCCAAACACCAGGTCGTGAGTGTCAGTCACAATTAACTTGTACACGGCGGGGATCGAACCCGCACTCACCCGCATGGAATCCCCCTTCCCAAACGACTGAGCCATTCCGATGACTTGTCGTATCGCTAACATCCCACAATATAACCTGCCAAAGAACAATACAACTAATGCAAATATGCAATATACACCCTGCACAAGTCGCCGCATCATCACTCGCTAACACAACAGGGAAATTAAGCAAATGCTCGAAGCTTTTGGGCAGGAAAGTCCCGCACATCTCGTAAATATTAGATGTGGGGTGGTTTTCGTGCGTTAGACTCAATAAGCTGGAAAAGTAAGAACCCCATCCTGATCACCCTCCTGTCTTCGTGGTTTTAAACGCGATGGAACTAATTTTTTGTGGTCGTCGAATATTTATAGGTCTTGAATCGCGCTTTGTTCTTAACGGCAGCGCCGAGCAAAGTTTTTCTATGCATCATTATTCAATTTTTTTTCGAATTTACCGACAAAATCAACTGGTTGTTTGATATTCAACACGCTCACAAAAACACTTTATTTATATGTGTTAGTGAGTGATGATGCGGCGACTTGTGCAGGGTGTATATTGCATATTTGCATTAGTTGTATTGTTCTTTGGCAGGTTATATTGTGGGATGTTAGCGATACGACAAGGCATCGGAATGGCTCAGTTTTGAGAAGGGGTATTCCATGCGGGAGAGTGCGGGTTCGAACCCCGCCGTGTTCACGTAAATTGTGACTGACACTCACGACCTGGTGTTTGGGGTTCACCAGAACTGTGACCCGCCCGCAGTTACGTCCCCCACCCACGCAATCGTTTTCATTCAGCATATGACACAGCAGAGTTTTTACGAAAGGTATTTACGAGACGTAATTACCCAGGGATAGGTAAAACAGAAAGCGGTGGAGACAGGGCACGAAATAGGTGGCTGAGAGTCACCGGCTACTACTAGCCATTCGTTTTCGAAGCTAGGAACAATTTGAATACAACTCCCTTTTCGGTTTTCATCCCCGGCCGTAAGCCATCTTCTTCTTCAGCATCAGCTCCACAACCTAGTTAATTCTAACAGGTTATGAGCCCAAAGAACGACTCCGGTTTCAAGGTCGAGCCTTTCGACGGCTCGAACTATGGGTTGTGGAGTTACAAGATGAAGATGTACCTGATGTCGAAGGGGCTGTGGGGCGCGATCGCGGGCGATGAGACAACAAGTGAGGCCAAGGAACAGCAAGCCCACGCCGCGATCGTGCTGAATCTGAGCGATTCACAGTTGATGCATGTCATCGACTCGGCCACCGCAAGAGAAGCGTGGGGACGTCTGGCGCGATTTCATCACAGTCATGACATGGCGAATCGACTTTGGCTGAAGGAAAAGTTCGCGTCGTTCAAGTATGCAGCATCAAGCATGAGCGGTCATGTGATGGAGCTGGAGGACCTCGTGATGAAGATGAAGCGCGCGAACTGCGGTCCAAGTGAAGAGGACGTGTGCGCAGTACTGTTGCGGAGTCTACCTTCAAGCTTCGAGAGCTTGGTACAGGCATTCCGCATGTCCGTCGCAAGCTTCAGTTTCAGTGACCTCGTGAGCAAGTTGATCGCCGAAGAAGTGCGCCAGAATGAGGGAGCACGAGTAGAAGATGCAACGGCGCTCTACGCAGGCAAGAGGAAGGGTAAGCAGTACCCGAAGAAGCGACAAGGACGGCGCGCGAAAGGACCATCAGGGACCTGCTACAACTGTGGCAAGGTCGGACACTACGCCAGAGATTGTCGCTCCGGTCGAGGGCCAAGGGGAGCAACAGCATGACCAGTCGAATGTCGCGTTTCATGCCAGCGAAGGTTTCGCGAGCAACAGCTGGGTCATGGACAGTGGCGCGTCAGCACACATGTGCAAGGATCGAGATGCGTTCGAAGAGTACGAAGAAGTGCATCATGCGCGAAGCATTTCAAGCGCAAAGAGCGACGTGAAGCTGAATGTCATTGGACATGGGACAGTGAAGCTGCGCGTCTGGACAGGACATGCGTGGATCGACGCTCGCCTTGAGAACACACTTCACGTTCAAGATTTGTCCAAGAACCTGTTTTCGCTCACGGCTGCGGCAGCGCGCGGCATGACAGTGGAGATAACGCGCAACGAGTGCGTGGTCAAGCGTGGCGGCACACCCGTCGCAACAGGAAGGAAGCAGGGGTTCCTCCTGTATCTCAATGCTGACTATGGTACGGAGTGCCACATGGCCGAAGACGACACAGAGCTATGGCATAGAAGACTGGGTCACGTGTCGTATGGTACGCTGAATGCCATGGTCAAGGACGGAAGGATCAAGGGCGCAACGATGAAGACGAACGTTGCGTGTGACGTATGCGCAACGTCAAAGCAAGTGCGCAAGTCATTCAAGACAAGTGAAGAAGACGCTGAAACCAGGGAGAGTTCACGTTCCGACGTGGTGGTGTGCTCCGACGTTCTCGGTCCTATCACGCCAGCGTCCAAGTCTGGTTTCAGTTACGCCGTAACCTTCATCATGATGAAGAGCAGATATGTAACGGTCTATCCGTTGCGAAAGAAGAGCGACGTTGCGAGTGCGTTCAAGCGGTTTTACCAAGATGTCAAGACAGCATCTGGAACGAAGATAAAGGTGTTGCGAAGTGACAACGGCGGCGAATACCGGAACGCAACGATGAACAGCTTTTGCAAGGCAAAGTTCATCAAGCAAGAGTTCACGGTTCCGTACAACCCAGAGCAGAACGGGATGGCGGAGCGGATGAACCGCACGCTGGTGGAGATGACGCGCTGTATGCTAAAGGAAAGCGGTCTCGACAAGTCCTATTGGTGCGAGGCACTAATGACAGCGGCAGACATCAGAAACATTCTGCCGAACGCGTCGAACAAGAACTCAAGCCCACACGAGATGGTGTTCAAGAAGGTTCCGCGCATCGATCACATGCGCGTGTTTGGTGCGCAATGCTATGCGCATGTGGCGAAGGAGAAGAGAAAGAAGCTGGACGACCCAGGCGTGCGATGTTTCTTTCTCGGCTATGCGAAGGACCAAAAGGCGTATCGGCTTCTCAACGCGGACGATGGCTCAATCGTGATTTCAAGAAGCGTCACGTTCGCTGAGCATTCTGTCTCGAAAGCATCGAAAAGCAGAGACACGCAGGTCTTCGATGTCATTGAAGAAGATGAAAGTGTGGAGGCGTCGCTAACCGATGATGAAGACATACCAGCGCCGGTGACCGAAGAAGAGCTGCGCACCCCACCACTTCGAGCGCAGAACAGCTCTCATCACGGACCAAGTGTTCGACCAAGCGACACCATTCCTACGCGCGCATCCAGCACACCCGGAAGAAATGGAGAAGAAGAGTGAATGGTGCGACCGGTTCGAAAGAAACGCGGCGTGGTTCGCTACGAACAAGAATTTCCAAGCCATCGTCGCGGTCGCTTCAATTTGGACGACTACGAAGGTGACTTCGACTCTTTCTACTGTTTCTCGGCTGAAGAAGATGGGGAACAAGCGTCCAGCTATCGAGAAGTGATGAAGAGCGGCTACAAGGAGCAGTGGCTCCAGGCAATGAAGAGTGAGATGAAGTCGCTTGAAGAACACAGCACATGGAAGCTAATGGACATGCCACCGGGCAAGAAGGCCGTTGGCTGCAAGTGGGTCTTCAAGATTAAACGCGATCCAAGTGGCGAGATCATCAAGTTCAAGGCACGCTTGGTTGCGAAGGGTTCACGCAGCGTCCTGGCATCGACTATAACGAGACCTTCGCACCAGTGGCGCGCAAGGAATCTAATCAACACAGTGTTGGCGATCGCTGCAGCCGAAGACCTGGAAGCAGAAAACGTTGATGTCGACACAGCGTTTCTCTACGGCGAAGTGGAGGAGGAGATCTACATGGACCAACCTGACGGTTTTGAAGATGAAGGAAGCCCGAATAAGAAGTGTTTGCTGCAGAAGGCGCTATACGGGACGAAGCAAGCGGCGCGGCAGTGGAACAACAAGTTGAGTCAGCACTTGGTTGATCAAGGATTCAAGAGCAGTACAGCGGACCCGTGTGTGTTCGTTCGAGTGACAAGAGAGGAGGAGTACAGCATCATCGTGATCTACGTGGACGACTTGATGATTTTCTGCAAGACGAAGGAGCACATCGCAAGTATCAAGAACTCATTGATGGAAGATTTCAGCATTAAAGATCTTGGAGATCTCAAGTACTGCCTCGGGATCGAGATTCATCGCAAGCGCGAAGATGGAACGATCAAGATGAACCAGAAGGCGTACATCAAGCGACTTTCCGGAGAAGTTCGGCGTTGAGAACTGCAAGGACATGCACACGCCGGCGGACAGTAATTCGAAGCTGATCAAGATGGGTCAAGAGGAAGCGTTTGTACCAAAGTACCCATACCGTGAGCTGGTGGGCGCTTTAATGTACATCGCCACATGTACACGACCGGACATTGCGCATGCGGTTGGCGAAGTTGCGAAGTTTTGCGAGCGCTACGACAAGTCGCATTGGACAGCAGCAAAGCGGATTCTCAAGTATCTCAAGACGACTCAAGACTTAAGCATCGTTTTCAGCGGCATCAACAAGGGAGAGCTGATTGGATTTGCGGATGCAAACTGGGCTGGCGACCTCGACACGCGGCGTTCGACAACAGGATACGTTTTCTTCCTGAACGGAAGCGTGATATCGTGGAACTCGAAGCGTCAACCAACGGTCGCGACCTCAAGTACGGAAGCAGAGTACATGAGTCTGTACAGCGCGACGCAGGAAGCAATTTGGCTTCGAGGTCTGCTCAAGGACCTGAACTACTGTGCCAAGAACGCGACGACGATTTTTCAAGACAATCAAGGTTGCATCGCGCTGGCCAAGAATCCTGTGTACCACTCGCGCACGAAGCACATCGACATCAAGTTTCACTTTTTGCGTGAAAAGGTTGCAAGTGCAGTTATCGCGCTAGAGTTCAAGCCGACAGAAGAAATGGTCGCGGATGGATTCACCAAAGCACTATCAAGAGACAAGCACAGCAAGTTCATCACGGGTTTGTGCATGGCGGTGTAGGGGTCACACGTCGCACGCACATCAAGGGAGAGTGTTAGCGAGTGATGATGCGGCGACTTGTGCAGGGTGTATATTGCATATTTGCATTAGTTGTATTGTTCTTTGGCAGGTTATATTGTGGGATGTTAGCGAAACGACAAGTCATCGGAATGGCTCAGTCGTTTGGGAAGGGGTATTCCACGCGGGTGAGTGCGGGTTCGATCCCCGCCGTGTACAAGTTAATTGTGACTGACACTCACGACCTGGTGTTTGGGGTTCACCAGAACTGTGACCCGCCCGCAGTTACGTCCCCCACCCACGCAATCGTTTTCATTCAGCATATGACACAGCAGAGTTTTTACGAAAGGTATTTACGAGACGTAATTACCCAGGGATAGGTAAAACAGAAAGCGGTGGAGACACGGCACGAAATAGGTGGCTGAGAGTCACCGGCTACTACTAGCCATTCGTTTTCGAAGCTAGGAACAATTTGAATACAACTCCCTTTTCGGTTTTCATCCCCGGCCGTAAGCCATCTTCTTCTTCAGCATCAGCTCCACAACCTAGTTAATTCTAACAATATGTACATTACATAACTCGTCTCCCAGTTGTAACCTCTCGAATTGGGTGCCTGGAAACATAGATTATTTATAAAGCCTTAGGCTAAATAAATGGTAATAAATGGCAAACATCAGAACTTGCTCCTCTATCTTCACTTGAGTATCGTATTTCATTCAACCTGTATACTCTCAAGAAGCTTGTGCGCATACTACATTTCACAATGACACGTACTCAGTGGTGTCTTGCTGCTGACAGTATTCATACACTTTTAACCAGCTGCATCAGATCTATGCTTCTTTAGCCCAACGAATGTAGTTGGTAGGCTAATTTAAAATTTTAAGGAGACTAATCTAGTTATTCATCACTCCGGGCAATTCTCCTCAAACGAGTTTATCGAGTTTAGCCAAAAGCAGACGTCCTCTAAAGTATAAACCCCACAACTCAGTTTTTAATTATTTTACTTACATTTTAGCTACTCACTTTCTAGTCCCAGATGACTTACACTCATATTTAACCACTCACGTTATCCATAAGTTCTATCGTTTACCTTCGCGTAATTACTTGCGGACCATCTATTTTTTCCTCCACACACACCCATGCACAAATCGTCGTTTTCTATCAGCTCACTGATGACTTGATTTTGTTGAAATTTAAGCGTAAAAACCTGTCGATGCTTGGAATCCAAGTACAGCGGGAGACACGTTCTCCCTCAGCGAGCTGTGTAGAGGTGTAGTTGGATACGAGCTCTTGTGTAGCGCGCCAGCTAATTACAGTTGTTGCTGATATTTCGCTACGAGAGAATATGTGACCTGATACTTTATTCCTAACATACCGAGCTGAAACATAACCATCGTAGTCTAGCAATGTCAGCATCACAGTGTAGCGGTACCTCCATTCTAGTGAAGTAATACTACCATCATCGTCTAGCAATGCGACCATGTAGCGACCCCTCATGACATACACTAAAGGAATGCCTCGAAGCATGTTAGTGTGGTACCGGTCTATACAGAGTCACGCTTTTCGCGTGTTGCCTCCAGTCTCTGACCGTATCTTAGTATCTGTACGTAGGACATGAAAAAACCCTCCAAACGCTGCTGACGAGCTATCAACATATAGAAAAGCAACTGCTCCAGGGGGTTCGAGACCCTCGACCTGCGGCTCATAAGACCACCGCTCTAACCAACTGAGCTACAGGAGCGACATGTCCGGCCGAGAAAATATACATACATAAACACTTTATGTGAAAGTACCACCTCCCTCTTATTGCTTCAATGATTATGCCCCATCTTTAGCATTGGTGGGTTCAACACGAGAGAAAGTCTTCCCCTTTTAGTTTTACAGTAGTCCAGCGTTTCTAGTGCGCACTATAAATGCGGCAATGCGATGACACTCTTGTATACCCTGCTAATTTTGGTATAATTGCACTGGCTTTCTTAACGAAGATGACTTGTGAAGTGACGCAATGAAATCAACCGGAAACAATAATTTGGCGCACACGTCAACGGCTATCAGTCGCTTTGGGTCTTCTCATAACACCACAACAATCGAAGCAGATCGAAGGACATTCGACGTAGACAGTCACGATCTCATATTTTCTCAGCACTACACCTGCTATCTCGAGGTTGCCGACGGATCACAGGCGGATGGGTATGCTGCGTGGTCAAGCAAGCCCGTTCACTTTTCAACTTCATTCCATTGACATACTATGGTGCAATTTCAGTGGCTTGCACGATGTGGCCGAGTATGTGTAAAATGAGAAAAGAAACACTTGTATCTTCCTTCTTGAATTATGCGATGTGGAGACATTAGAACAAGGACGCTAAGAAGATACGACTTTTGAATTCCCATTTCGCCAGATCCCTCTTCGCATAGATATGTCGTGCTCACCAGTTTTCGGGTTCATTCACTCTCTTTGTTGAATGTTGTATACATTTATTAATCTGCTGCCTTACTCTGCGTACATTGAGCCAAAGTAAGCATGCATGCTGATGCACATCTAACAGACCTAGCTCCATCATCTTCCTTCTAAAGTGGGCATTCCATGCGTTAAATCCTTAGTGTCGGTGAAGTGAAATGTTATTAGCATTAAGACGGGTACTGTGTCGTATCACTGTGATTAATTATTTTTATGCATGCACTGATTACTTTGTCGACGAGTTAAAAGTAAAAAGTAGATGGAGCTAGGTGTGTTAGATGTGCATCAGCATGCATGCTTACTTTGGCTCAATGTACGCAGAGTAAGGCAGCAGATTAATAAATGTATACAACATTCAACAAAGAGAGTGAATGAACCCGAAAACTGGTGAGCACGACATATCTATGCGAAGAGGGATCTGGCGAAATGGGAATTCAAAAGTCGTATCTTCTTAGCGTCCTTGTTCTAATGTCTCCACATCGCATAATTCAAGAAGGAAGATACAAGTGTTTCTTTTCTCATTTTACACATACTCGGCCACATCGTGCAAGCCACTCGAAATTGCACCATAGTATGTCAATGGAATGAAGTTGAAAAGTGAACGGGCTTGCTTGACCACGCAGCATACCCATCCGCCTGTGATCCGTCGGCAACCTCGAGATAGCAGGTGTAGTGCTGAGAAAATATGAGATCGTGACTGTCTACGTCGAATGTCCTTCGATCTGCTTCGATTGTTGTGGTGTTATGAGAAGACCCAAAGCGACTGATAGCCGTTGACGTGTGCACCAAATTATTGTTTCCGGTTGATTTCATTGCGTCACTTCACAAGTCATCTTCGTTAAGAAAGCCAGTGCAATTATACCAAAATTAGCAGGGTATACAAGAGTGTCATCGCATTGCCGCATTTATAGTGCGCACTAGAAACGCTGGACTACTGTAAAACTAAAAGGGGAAGACTTTCTCTCGTGTTGAACCCACCAATGCTAAAGATGGGGCATAATCATTGAAGCAATAAGAGGGAGGTGGTACTTTCACATAAAGTGTTTATGTATGTATATTTTCTCGGCCGGACATGTCGCTCCTGTAGCTCAGTTGGTTAGAGCGGTGGTCTTATGAGCCGCAGGTCGAGGGTTCGAACCCCCCCTGGAGCAGTTGCTTTTCTATATGTTGATAGCTCGTCAGCAGCGTTTGGAGGGTTTTTCATGTCCTACGTACAGATACTAAGATACGGTCAGAGACGGAGGCAACACGCGAAAAGCGTGACTCTGTATAGACCGGTACCACACTAACATGCTTCGAGGCATTCCTTTAGTGTATGTCATGAGGGGTCGCTACATGGTCGCATTGCTAGACGATGATGGTAGTATTACTTCACTAGAATGGAGGTACCGCTACACTGTGATGCTGACATTGCTAGACTACGATGGTTATGTTTCAGCTCGGTATGTTAGGAATAAAGTATCAGGTCACATATTCTCTCGTAGCGAAATATCAGCAACAACTGTAATTAGCTGGCGCGCTACACAAGAGCTCGTATCCAACTACACCTCTACACAGCTCGCTGAGGGAGAACGTGTCCCCGCTGTACTTGGATTCCAAGCATCGACAGGTTTTTACGCTTAAATTTCAACAAAATCAAGTCATCAGTGAGCTGATAGAAAACGACGATTTGTGCATGGGTGTGTGTGGAGGAAAAAATAGATGGTCCGCAAGTAATTACGCGAAGGTAAACGATAGAACTTATGGATAACGTGAGTGGTTAAATATGAGTGTAAGTCATCTGGGACTAGAAAGTGAGTAGCTAAAATGTAAGTAAAATAATTAAAAACTGAGTTGTGGGGTTCATACTACGGATAATTACACCACACTCCTTTTTTCTAAATGTGCCCCAGACACCATACCCATATCACACCACACTCTGGTTCGTGCGATGAACATTGCGCCACTTCCGTAAGTTCAACATTATGCATCTATTGTACAAGTGTTGCGTGATATCTAAAAGCATTCATCGTTTAGCACCCAATAGGTGACTCAAGATCTTTTCCTTCGCAAAAGATTAGATTAAAGACTGCGTCCCTTTCTTCACTACATGTCAAATACATATGAGGGGCTATTATCACATTTCTAAACTGGCAAGAGCCAGGTTTCAGTCGAATAAAATAAGAATAATCAAATGAAGGTTTGCATGTCAACAACGTAATCAGATGCATTCGTAGTAGCGAATATCACCTGTTCAAACAAGAATTTGTGTCATACAGCTAAACGTATTTTTGACCGAGCCATTTTGTTTTCTTTTTTAAAAATAGGCCAGTGGCTGTAAAAGAAAATTTCTTGGTAAAACACTCATAGCATCTCCGCAGGCTCACTACATCTCTATTTTGAAGTGAATTTGCAGTATTTAAGTCTCCACAGCACTACTATATAATTTCTATCTTTTGAGAACAATCCGAACTTTGGCTCACCACTCCGAATTCGGAGTGACCTCAAACCCCTCTCCAAAATCTACACATTCTAAAATGCAGCAAAAATATATAGCTAATCCTCGCACGCACTTCCCCTAAACGCCTAAACTCTTGATAATGATAGACCCTGCTAAAAATCAACCAAACGCGTTTTCTGAGTGTGGCAAGTGTGGCAAGAATTGATGCGGCCTTGTCACTCATAAAGTGGTACACCCCGGGTGAGATTTTGTTAAAATTGAGTACAGAGGAATGGTGGCGCGTTATTGTCGCGCAAAACATATTGCGTTTCGATATGGGCAAGACAATGGGTGTATTTAGTATAAGGTGGGGTGTATGATGAGTGTTTCGGGGTGTAGGTCAAGTCGTCCACGAAGGGAAAAAGCTTCAGTTATCGATTTCGAGCTAACATCAATTTGCTTGGTACCCACTTTACAAACGTACGAGGGATGCAGAATGTTGTGCGATAGTGGTCGTACAGACTTATGGTGGCACGATGTTTGCCTTTCGATTTATGTTGTGGTGTGGTATGGGTGTGGTGTATGGAATGTACATGGTCAAAAAATAGGGTATTTTTATATAGGAAATAATAAGTTGGTCTCCTTTAATGACCGTTGGCTTTCTGTACTATTCAATACTTCCAGATAGGTCCGGGAAGAAGCATGGAAGTCGATAATTACCAGTAGCAGCAAAAGTTTTTTGTGCAATAATCAGTAATTGCCCACATTATATCCGGGTCGGGTTTTGCAAGAGCGATCAATAGGCGTAACTCATTTTTCGCCTTCGGAGCTAGTCTAAAACGAATTGGGCCAGCATATTGTGTTGATATGGACACTATCTTCGTTTAGAGGCAATAAAGGAACGATCCTCGAGCATACCGAAGGGCAAACATCGAGTTTTGCGTACACTTTGCGGGTGGGGTTCTCTTGGCGTGCCTGCCTCAGGCAGCTCATCCGTTTTCGAAAGTACTGAAGTTTACTCAAATAGGTGGCTGAGAGTAGTCACCGGCAACTATAGCCACTCGTTTTCGAACTAGGAACAATTTGAATACAACTCACTTTTCGGTTTTCATCCCCGGCCGTAAGCCGTCTTCTTCCGAGTATCAGCTCCGCAACCTAGTTTAAATCTAACAGGTTATGAGCGCAAACAACAACTCCGGTTTCAAGGTCAAGCCTTTCGACGACTCGAACTATGGGTTGTGGAGTTACAAGATGAAGATGTACCTGATGTAGAAGGGGCTGTGCGGCGCGATCGCGGGCGATGAGACAACAAGTGAGGCCGAAGAACAGCAAGCCCACGCCGCGATCGTGCTTAATCTGAGCGATTCGCAGTTAATGCATGTCATCGACTCGGCCACTGCAAGAGAAGCGTGGAAACGTTTGGCGCGATTTCATCACAGTCATGACATGGCGAATCGATTTTGGCTGAAGGAAAAGTTCGCGTCGTTCAAGTATGCAGCATCAAGCATGAGCGGTCATGTGATGGAGCTGGAGGACCTCGTGATGAAGATCAAGCGCGCGAGATGCGGTCCAAGTGAGGAGGACTTGTGCGCGGTACTGTTGCGAAGTCAATCTCTGACAGCTTGGTACAGGCATTCCGCATGTCCGTCGCAAGCTTCAGTTTTAGTGACCTCGTGAGCAAGTTGATCACCGAAGAAGTGCGCCAGAATGAGGCTGCACGGGTAGAAGATGCAACGGCTCTCTACGCAGGCAAGAGGAAGGGTAAGCAGTACCCGAAGAAGCAACAAGGACGGTGCGCGAAAGGACCATCAGGGACCTGCTACAACTGTGGCAAGGTCGGACACAACGCCAGAGATTGTCGCTCAGGTCGAGGGCCAAGGGAGCAACAGCATAACCAGTCGAATGTCGCGTTTAATGTCAGCGAAGGTTTCGCGAGCGACAGCTGGGTCATGGACAGTGGCGCGTCAGCACACATGTGCAAGGATCGAGATGCGTTCGAAGATTACGAAGAAGTGCATCATGCGCGAAGTATTTCAAGCGCAAAGAGCGACGTGCAGCTGAATGTCATCGGACATGGGACAGTGAAGCTGCGCGTCTGGACAGGGCATGCGTGGATCGATGCTCGCCTTGAGAACACACTTCACGTTCAAGATTTGTCCAAGAACCTGTTTTTGCTCACGGCTGCGGCAGCGCGCGGCATGACAGTGGAGATAACGCGCAACGAGTGCATGGTGAAGCGTGGCGGCAAACCCGTCGGAACAGGAAGGAAGCAGGGGTTCCTACTGTATTTCAACGCTGATTATGGTACGGAGTGCCACATGGCCAAAGACGATACAGAGCTATGGCATAGAAGACTGGGTCACGTGTCGTATGGTACGCTGAATGCCATGGTTAAGGACGGTAGTATCAAGGGCGCAACGGTGAAGACGAACGTTGCGTGTGACGTATGCAACGTCAAAGCAAGTGCGCAAGTCATTCAAGACAAGCGAAGAAGACGCTGAAACCAGGGAGAGTTTGCGTTCCGACGTGGTGGTGTGCTCCGACGTTCTCGGACCTATCACGCCAGCGTCTAAGTCTGGTTTCAGTTAGGCCGTAACCTTCATCATGATGAAGAGCAGGTATGTAACGGTCTATCCGTTGCGAAAGAAGAGCGACGTTGCGAGTGCGTTCAAGCGGTTGTACAAAGAGATCAAGACAGCGTCTGGAACGAAGATAAAGGTGTTGCGAAGTGACAACGGCGGCGAATACCGGAACGAAACGATGAACAAATTTTGCAAGGCAAAGTTCATTAAGCAAGAGTTCACGGTTCCGTACAACCCAGAGCAGAACGGGATGGCGGAGCGGATAAACCGCACGCTGGTGGAGATGACACGCTGTATGCTCAAGGAAAGCGGCCTCGACAAGTCGTACTGGTGCGAGGCACTGATGACATCTGCATACATCAGAAACATTCTGCCGAACGCGTCGAACAAGAACTCAAGCCCACACGAGATGGTGTTCAAGAAGGTTCCGCGCATCGATCACATGCACGTGGTTGGTGCGCAAAGCTATGCGCATGTGGCGAAGGAGAAGAGGAAGAAGCTGGATGACTCAGGCGTGCGATGTTTCTTTCTCGGCTACGCGAAGGATCAAAAGGCGTTGGCTTCTTAGTGCGGACGATGGCTCAATTTTGATTTCAAGAAGCGTCACGTTCGCTGATCGTTCTGCCTCGAAAGTGTCAAAAACCAGAGACACGCGGTTGCTCGATGTCATTGAAGACGAGTAAAGTGTGGAGGCGTTGCTACCCGATGATGAAGACATGCAAACGCCGGTGACCGAAAAAGAGCTACGCACCTCGCCACTTCGAGTGCAAAACAGATATCGTCACGGTCCCTGTGATCGACTAAGCGACACCATTTCTACGCGTGCATCCAGCACACCCGGAAGGAATGGATATAAAGAGTGGAAGGTGCGACCAGCTCGGAAGAAGTGCGGTGTGGTTCGCTACGAACAAGAATTTTCAAGCCATCGTCGCGGTCACTTCAATTTGGACGACAACGAAGGTGACTACGACTCTTTCTACTGTTTCTCGGCTGGAGAAGATGGGGGAACAAGGTTCCAGCTATCAAGAAGTGATGAAGAGCAGCTACAAGGAGCAGTGGCTGCAGGCAATGAAGAGTGAGATGAAGTCGCTTGAAGAAAACAGCACATGGAAGCTAGTGGACATGCCACCGGGCAAGAAGGCCGTAGGCTATAAGTGGGTCTTCAAAGATTAAACGCAATCCAAGTGGGAAGATCATCAGGTTCAAGGCGCGCTTGGTTGCGAAAGGGTTCACGCAGCGTCCTGGCATCGACTACAACGAGACCTTTGCACCAGTGGCGCGCAAGGAATCTATCAACACAGCGTTAGCGATCGCTGCAGCTGAAGACCTGGAAGCAGAAAATGCTGATGTCGACACAGCGTTTCTCTACGGCTAAGTGGAAGAGGAGATCTACATAGACCAACCTGACGGTTTTGAAGATGAAGGAAGCTCGAAAAAGAAGTGTTTGCTGCAGAAGGCGCTATACGGGACGAAGCAAGCGGCGCGGCAGTGAAGCAATAAGTTGAGTCAGCACTTGGATGATCAAGGGTTCAAGAGCAGTGCAGCGGACACGTGTGTGTTCGTTCGAGTGACAAGAGAGGAGTAAAGCATCATCGTGATCTACGTGGACGACTTAATGCTTTTCTGCAAGACGAAGGGGAACATCGCAAGTATCAAGAACTCATTGATGGAAGATTTCAGCATTAAAGATCTTGGAGATCTCAAGTACTGCCTAGGGATCGAGATTCATCGCAAGCGCGAAGATGGAACGATCAAGATGAACCAGAAGGCGTACATCAAGCGACTTTCGGAGAAGTTTGGCGTTGAAAACTGCAAGGACGTGCACACGCCGGCAGACAGTAACTCGAAGCTGATCAAGATGGGTCAAGAGGAAGCGTTTGTACCAATGTACCCATACCGTGGGCTGGTGGGAGCTTCAATGTACATCGCCACGTGTACTCGAACGGACATTGCGCATGCGGTTGGCGAAGTTGTGAAGTTTTGTGAGCGCTACGACAAGTCGCATTGGACAGCGGCAAAGCGGATTCTAGAGTATCTCAAGACGACTCAAGACTTAAGCATCGTTTTCAGCGGCATCAACAAGGGAGAGCTGATTGGATTCGCGGGTGCAAACTGGGCTGGCGACCTCGACACGGCGTTCGACAACAGGATACGTTTTCTTCTTGAACGGAAGCGTGATATCGTGGAATTCGAAGCGTCAACCAACGGTCGCGACCTCAAGTACTGAAGCAGAGTACATGAGTCTGTACAGCGCGACGCAGGAAGCAATTTGGCTTCGAGGTTTGCTCAAGGACCTGAAATACTGTGCCAAGAACGCGACGTCAATTTTTCAAGACAATCAAGGTTGCATCGCGCTGGCCAAGAGCCCTATGTACCACTCGCGCACAAAGCACATCGACATCGAGTTTCATTTTTTGCGTGAAAAGGTTGCAAGTGCAGTGATTGCGCTAGAGTTCAAGCCGACAGAAGAAATGGTCGCGGGTGGATTCACCAAGGCACTTCCAAGAGACAAGCACAGCAAGTTCATCACGGGTCTGTGCATGGCGGTGTAGGGCGCACACGTCGCACGCACATCAAGGGAGAGTGTTAGCGAGTGATGATGCGGCGACTTGTGCCGGATGTGTATTGCATATTTGCATTAGTTGTATTGTTCTTTGGCAGGTTTATATTGTGGGATGTTAGCGATACGACAAGGCATCGGAATGGCTCAGTTTTGAGAAGGGGTATTCCATGCGGGTGAGTGCGGGTTCGAACCCCGCCGTGTTCACGTAAATTGTGACTGACACTCACGACCTGGTGTTTGGGGTTCATCAGTACTGTGACCCGCCCGCAGTTACGTCCCCCACCCACGCAATCGTTTACATTCTGCATATGACACAGCAGAGTTTTTACGAAAGGTATTTACGGGACGTAATTACCCAGTGATAGATAAAACGGATAGTGGTGGAGACAGGGCACGAAATAGGTGGTTGAGAGCCACTGGCTACTACTCGTCATCCGTGTTTGAAGCTAGAAACGAGTTGGATACAATTCACTTTTCGGTTTTCATCCCCGGCCGTAAGCCGTCTTCTTCTAATTGTCAGCTCCGCAATCTAGTTTAAATCTAACATAACCCTTTGCGCTTACAGAGCGAAGATACATCAAAGAAGATTACCTAATAGCCACGAACAAAGTATTTAATGAGAGTTCGTATTGCGGTAAAGGTAATTTACATCCCAATGTTGAGAATGATGTAACATGTTGATCATACTGGTCTTTCTTTTGGACGTGGAATACAATGCCGAGGTTTACTGTAGAGTACTAACTCGATTATGTGGCATCATACGCATTGCACTCGACAAATACGTCCAAATGGTCCATGCGGCATCGTTCCAGGGAAGCTCAGCTTGAACGATATTTTCTATTATTTTACGATATAGCAAAAGTTCATACTGCTTAAGGAAGATACACACTCCTACCTCAACCGTGACAAAGGGGATGATTTATGTTCACCGCGTGCTTGAACCGCAAGGTTAGTTGAGGAGCTGACGTAGGTATGAAGACTAGCTACCATTGAAATCACTTCCGAGAATAATGGAATTACTGCTAACTATTAAAACTTGTATTCATCTATTCCAAAACAGAATAATATGCCTATCGAGAACTGAACCGAGTTGCCTCCTAAGTCTTTACAAAAGAAGTCTAAATAGGAGCTGTGCAACTGTAGGTTATTATATCTGCCCCATCTTTATTTATTGATATGGTTGTAATCAATGCTGGCTTACGGCCTGATCAGAAATTAAAGCTATGAACAGAAACGTTATATGGTGAAATTATCAAAAGCGGACGGAGTCAAATTCAAAAAGTGGTTTCAATATCAGCATGCACGATCGTCTGGTTGTACCAACTACAAATTGAAGCCGTGAGCCACACCATTTCTATTCAAGAGGTGCACGCGTTCCAGCAGCAGCTGTAAGAGTGCGTGGCTCAAAAGAATTAGATAGCTTTAGAGCATGTTCATCAAGTAGTGCATTCCTCTCGACCTGACCATATCATTTTGATCATTGGCGCATGAGCGATGCCGAAAAACCCGCATAGCGCGCACCAAACATAGGGCTTTATCGTGTTATCTAGGGAGTGTCGATGTGATAGCTGAAGACAATTGCTCGACAACGAAAGATAGTGTTCTAAAAAAAGAGACGCTTTTTAACAAGGTCGACGGCGCTTTTATGCTTACTTAATACATAGAAGTTTACCCGTGAGTACTCCAGACTAAATAGCATATTTATTGCGAGCCCGAAAGGGTGAAGCTATTAGTGATGTGTGCAAGCTTTCTGTATGCCGAGCTTTTGAAGTGTTTAGATTTGTGTGTCTGTATGCGCGTCTGTGTGTGTATAATAACGCTGGGTGTACCTTACACATCGTGCTAGGTGAAATCCAGCCTGTCTTCCTCATGAGTATATGGTCATGTACGAAGTACTCTTTGGCTAGATCACTATTACTATGTACGTACGTGATTAGCTTACAATCGATACAAGATTGATATGTTACATAAGCAATGCTGGACGCTAATAAGCAAAAGAAGCAATGCTGGACGTTAATAAGCAAAAGATGCGAGTATACTGTACAGTGTCAATACGAACATTAACAGCATCATTCCCACTCTTTAGTTCCTGCTTCTATATATTGTGTTGCGTCTAAAATTAGCTCCCCAAACAAGACTAAATCTATCTAAGGGCGAAATTCAGGGTTTCATCTCTAACTTTGGTGTCAGGATTGCCTGAGTCCATACCTGGTTTTGCATCGCTACATTACTTGATCTGGTGTATTATCTATATCATCCTTACGTTTTTCATCTTCAACTCCTAAACCCCTGAGGAGCTCGCCAAGATCACGCACTCATCCTTAGTTCTGGATTGCTTAAAAAAAGCTGCATAATTCTGCTTTAATCTTATCACTTTGATTAAGTCATCGAGGTGGACAAACGAGAGACAAGTCATGCTTTTTGTTCGATCTTTAAAACAAGTGAGTTTAGTTTTGGATGCCTTGCAACCAATATCCTAAAGTTATAGATCAAGATTCTTGTTTAATCTCCTTCTGTACTGATGAGGGCCGTAAATTGTCTTCTACACTAACCATACATACTCAGGTCTGCACAGAAATCCAAGTGCGCTGCTCACCTACTGATCTATAGCTGAATCTGCACTTACGTATGCCGTCGAAAATTCACAGCACAAATTCAAAGTGATAATTTCACCGTCAGACCCATCATCATTTAGCACAAGTATAGCCTAACAACTGGAGAAAGATTTCATTTAAGTCGACTCCATGCTTCTAATATTTTTTGAGAGCAGCCAAGGACGAGATTAATTAACATGGCCACGTGAAACACTTTTGACTTAGAATCTCTACTTCTTCTTGATAGCTCGGTGTTTGTCAAGCACTTGGTTATTTTGGATATCGTTACCGGAACACTTGTTTTGCATTTCTTGCACCTTCTTTTTGATAGTCTCTTATTGCTCCTTTGGCTGCTGTGATTTCATTGCGTCCTTGAGATCTCAAGGTATTTTACCTTAAATTTCTGCCCTTGTATTGCCTAGAGGATTCTGTACACATGTTTGGATCTAACATCAGCATCATGGTGAAATTCACGCAATTTTATCGAGGTGTTTCGGAAGCATCTTGCGCATTTGCTTGACCCACCCCAAGAACCATGTATAAAGCCACAAAGGATTCTTTCTCATCATTGCAAGGCGAATGGATACCAGCCTCGTCACGAGTAAGACGTCTTCCTACCTTTTTTTGGTCGAAGAAAAGGAAGCGCCAGCGCTAGAATGTTCAACAAGTATATGGATTAAATTAGTGCTGGAAATATCGTCGGTTGTGATTAATTCCTCGGCTGATGTCAAAAATGCTTCTTCTTTGAGTCCGAGCGTCATTTATTCATGCATGCCAAGTTTGTCTTGACAGTTCTTCAGTTATCGTATGTTCCACCACGCCTTGCTCACCGTCTGTCAATATATTTTTTATTTGCTACCCAACGACCTCTTAGATAGGTAGACTCGGATCATCACCACTGTTTTCTTTGTCTTACCCTTACGATTCTAGTATTTTCAACTTCTGTGGAGATATCAACGTTGACTGTCATAGATCCACGCTCAGCAGTAGAAGGTCTAGATTATCTTTTCTTATCGTTATTGTGTAACTATCTCGTGACGGTCTTGCTTGCATCTGATATGCTTGAGGTAAACCCGTCGTGACTGTCTCATCTCCGTCGCTGGTATCCATCATTTCAAATCCATAAGATGCGCTAATAAAAATGTTAAAAAAAAACTTCGCCTAGTTGTGCATCTTGCGTCGACTCATCTGTGGTGCCTCCTGTATCAGAGAAGTCGCATGAAGTAACTGACTCACCGTCACTATCGTTGCTAACATCATGTCATATTTAGTTTCTGAGAGTTGAATCCACTGTCTATCGATCTTTGGAAACGGCAATTTTGTCTACTAAAGTGTACGCAACAAATCAGAATAATTTATTTACAATATCTAATACCTCATACCCAGCTGTATCGTCGCAGCATATAAGCACGAAACTAAAATTTGGGTAATGATCAAATTACCTTTTTTAATAAGATACAGGCATATACATGCACGCCGTTGCGCCAAACCTCCTAACATCATCCTCAAATAATCGATGTCTGCTCAAAAACTATTGAGTAGGTAGAGTTCCTTTAAGTAAACAGTAGTCTTCATTACAGACACAAGAAAAAAATGACTTAAGAAAACCATTTGAAATTAATCATTTGCTGTCGTCCACCAGCACCGATGCACGTGGCACCAAGCTATTGTAAGCTTGTAGTTGACTAAGTCTTGACATGTTGTTCCTTTTCAGTATCAATTCGAACTATGCTTAGCATGAACATACCCACGTGTTCGACAACACAGTCAATAATAATCGTTCACATCACCAGATTTTAAATGCCGTTATTGAGTCGTTATCTGATCTTGAAGGGTTAATTTTTTAAGCTGAAAATATTACGATTGGCTTTGCACCCATCGACGTCTAGGATAATTTTAGTTTTGCTTCATGCAAGAATTGATTACTAGTTTACGATTCTTCACTTTTCGAATACATTTGTGTTTCAAAGTCCTTTGGCAAACTCAGTGATGCTTCGCTGTTTCGCACGAACAAATTTTTTGCAGTAATGAAACTGATATCTTCCTCAAGCCCAATGCGTGTCACTAGAATCATATACCGTATTGGTCGCTGTTTCTTTTTGTGAAACCCTTTCATTGAACCTTTGTATTACCAGTACCTTTTAGTCGAAAATCATTTATACCACATGTACATCCCCTAATATCGTCTTCTTCTCGTCTTGATACGATGTATCCTTATTGGTAGATCCGCCTGTGTCACATTTTCATTTTGCAAAATTTGCTATACCTTTTAAACTAGCTGCATCACCGAGTGCTGTATAACGATTCTCTGGCTTTGGCCTGCTCTCTATCTCTATCTGCGATAAACTTTTAAAATTTCCATGCGGTCCAGCGCTATCACGATTTATTTTTCAGC